CGACATATTGTTTTTTGCGAAAATCATTAAAATGGTGGCGTAAGCTTTTTTTTTGAGGCATGGAAATTTGCTTGATCAATTCATACATATTGTATAAATTAGAAAAAAAGAAAGGAGAGAAAAAGCCACTAAATCATTTGCGCTAAATCTAAAAACGCTGGTGGAGAAATTGAGAAGAAGCCATCTCCAGCGTCGATCATCGATGAACACCGGCTTCCACAAATGGAAAGCTCCATATTGTTTTGAAAGGGGTAAAGAGGGATTGCAAGGTTTGCTCTGACCGTAGTAAACCTGGTGGTAGACGCGAAACCTTGTATTATTGCGATACGTGCCTTGACAAACCGAGGATGCATCTCGGGGATTGATTCATAAAGTACCACACAAAAACGAATTACAGAATGTAATATTTAACAGATTTTGTTTTGTACAACATAAAAATAAATAAATTGTTGAAATTTTATTATTTGTATATACGTTTGTTTCAGTATAAAATTTTAAATAATCATTTTAAAGTACCTGTCCCTAATATAGCCGAAATCGTCTCGAGTTGCGCCCGAGTGAAAAAGGCCTCGAGTACAAAAAGTTAATCAGTTTTACTAAAACAGTTTTAAGATTAAAAGCAAAAATATGGATTTTCTTCGCACTCATCACAGAATGTTGTAATTTTCTTAGTGAAATTTCTACTAATATTACTTTTCAGCGTTGTATTTTCTTCATAACAATTTTTTACAAAATTTTCTGACTTGGCATGCTGGATGTAATTGTAATGTGATTTTGCGTTTTGCTTACCGCGGAATTGTATCGTACGGCGTAAACGGAAAAGTAAACGTGTTAATGACTAATCCTTCGTCAGTAGTTGTAACGCTTTCGCTAGCAGCGTATTCGCCACAGAGATGCTCCCGCAGAACGAACCACGGTGATAAAAGTGTATACACAGCGCGCGTATGGTCGTTACGTTTAACTTCTATAACTTAGAAACAATGAACCAAACGCTAATTCATGGAATGACAGCAAAAGTATCCGAGTAACGACACAATAAATCCAGAACAACAAAAAAAAACGCGGAGTGGGCAGAATATGTAGAATGGCAGCATATCGCCAAATGAGTAAACATTAATCTGTTTCATCTAGTGGTAGTTGGTCGGTGATACATTAATGTTTTTTTCACATTCACATAAATAAACACAAAATGGATCTAAACTGTGTGACGTCGGGCATGCGACGTTTGCTCAGGCTCCAGGCGGGAGTAACTATGACTCTTTGAATCTTCTCTGTTGAGTTTATAAAGTACTGTCGGCAACTGCCAAATGACAAAAAATACACGCCAAGGAGTGTTTGCGATAAAGTCCAGTCTCGTCGTAGAGTTTGAAGAGGTAGAAATGATCTCACCCACACCGCCAACTCCATCGCAATACGGGAACCTTAAGAAGTCCAACGCTGATTCGCAAGTCCTCGTTATAAATAACGATTCGAGCATAGACAAGCGAATCCGCCAATTACGTAGCATCATTCCGAACAATCACTTAAACGTGGAAGAAAGAGATCACGTAGACGAGATCATCAAATCTAATTTTGACTTCTTCCATCTCTCCCTGGAGATGTATTAGGAAAGAGGGACGTCGTCACTTACAAAATTCCGACCGTCGACGACTTGCCGGTCCACACGCGGCAATATCGATATCCTCCGATATGCAATTGATGCTTGTAAGCCTAGAGATATAAAAACATGGTAAGCGTTTAAGCGTGCTTTTATGCAATCCTTTATCAGAGTTGTTCATTAGGCTTTTGTCTGTATTCATTGCGCATTTGTTGACAAATTATTGCTATCAAAGACTTTTGAGATTATCAGTGCTTGATAAAGTCTTGAAAATAGTAAAATGAGGCTCGAGAATGCTGAACTAAATGACAGTAAGTAGTCAAGAAGTGTTTAATAATTCAACATAATTATTTTTATTATTATTAAAATTTCTCATCTACATACGTATGTATATCAAGTACGTTAATAAGAAACTTCTCAAATTATTGCATTCTAAATATAAACATTTTTAGTTGCAGTCCTGTACTATGTCGGTGGTTAAAAAAAATAAAAACAAAAGATACAAGCTCCAGACCACATCAAACAGAATGGTATATTGATAAATATGGTGTGATTGAAAAGAATAAAACGACTATGTGTGTAATTTGTAAAGAAAAAGTCACGTCACGTACATACAATGTAAAAAGACATTTTGAAAAGTTGCATTCTAATCTCGGCCTTTCAACAGATGAAGAAAGAGAAACATATTTTGTACAAAAGAAAAAAGAGATTCATTCACAAACCAGTGTTTTAAAACACTTTTTGATTCCAAAAAATAACATTACAGCTGCTAGTTTTCAAATTGCCCATTGCATTGCTCGCCACGAGAAACCTCTTTCAGAAGGAGTTTTTTTTTTTTTAAACAAGCATTTTTAGAATGTAGTGCTACTTTGTTTTCAGATTTTAAAGAAAAAGACTTGAGATTATAAATGAGTTACCAATAAGTCGCAATACAATTAAAGTTCGAGTAATAGAATTAGAAAGAAATATTTGTTCGCAAATACGTAAAGACATAAATTACGCAGAAATGTATTCAACTGCTTTAGATGAGAGTAATGATGTAAATAGTTATGCACAATTAACAGTTTCTGCTCGATATAAAGCAGGCAATATAATGAAAGAAGAGCTAATGAAACTTATAACACTGAAAGGGAAGTGTACCGGTCTTGATATTTTTCAAGAATTTGATATTGCATTTAAAGAAATGGATATTGACCTACAAAAAATTGTTCCTGTAACAACAGACGGTGCACTCAATATGGTGGGGAAAAAACATTGGTTTTATCCAGTATCTTAAGCAAAATATTTCATATTCTCTGATTGAATTTCATTGTAATAAGTTATCAACTTTGTAAACGCAAGAGGTCTTAACAAACGACAATTTGCACAATATAAGAGAAAGTTGAGTGCCAGTATTCAGGGATTTTGATATACAACAATGTTCAATGGCTCAGTTGCGGTCAAGTTCTTAATCGGTCATTTTATCAGAAGAAATTAAGCTCTTTTTGAATGAAAAAAAAAACCATAATTTTGACGAATTCTCTCAAATATAGATTGGTTAAATGATTTTATGTTTTTATGCGACATCACTCAGCATTTTAATGAACTGAATAAAAAACTTCAAGGAAATTGACAAATTGTTTTAATGAGAATATTACGATATTTGTTTGAGAATATTACGATATTTATGACGAAACTTGACATCTTTACTAAGGATTTGGAAATGAAAATCGTGAAATATTTTCCTCAATTACAAAAACATTTTCAAAACGCAATAATAATTGTAAATACGCTTGACGTTCAAGGAAATGCAATTAAAAAATATTTAATGATCATACAGGAAATAAAACACCTTTGAGGAGAGATTTAATCAATTTAAAAGTTTGGAAAATACATTTCACTTCATTTTATATCCATACAAAACGAAATTCGAAACAATAGAGTTGACAGAATTTATGTGGCTAGGTATCCATGATTTAGAAATGGAATTAGTTGAATTTCAAAGCAACATAGTGTGGAAAAATAAATTTGACAACTTGATTTCCAAAGTAGAAGGAAAAATGTCTGAAAGTGCAAATAATAATGATCCTACGCTAAAAATTGAAAATATTATATTAAACGTATGGGATTCTTTACCACATAATTTTAAACATATCAATGAAGAAGCTTGCTAATGCTCTTTTAACGATGTTCGGGTCCACATATTCGTGTGAAACATTGTTTTCTTCAATGAATTTCGTAAAGTCTAGATAGAAATAAACTTGGAAATGAATTGACTGCGAAATGCGTTAAAGTATTGAACCTAATATTAAGAAACTATCTGAAAATAAACAAGATTTCTCATTAAATATACTTTAACTTTATTATACATACACATATGTATAACTATATCATCTATTAAAATATATTTCATAATATATATGTGATTTTCTTTATTCATTGTTCATTCAAATACTCAGTGCAGGGGTGACCCTGGCATAATGTCACCTCTTTTGTATCAATTTTTTGACGTCGACATTTATTTTTGGCTCTTCACTTGCAAAAGTAAAAGTTGCAAAACAAAAAGGAAACGTAAACTTTTTAGAGGATTATAAAAGTGAGAACCCAAAAAAAAGTAGTCTTTAACTATCCTCCCCTCTCTCTTTACAAGTGACGCTACTGACTTGATGACTAATGAGCTAGTACTAAAAACAATAATGAACAAAATTTGACCTACTTCTCAAAAAGGTTCGCCAAGTCACTGACCAAGACAATAGTGATGTACAGCACCCACTATGAATACTACCGTAATATAAATTTTCACCCATCATAAATAATGCCGTAAAAAAGCCTTATTACCATTGCAATTTAGGATCAAGGTCTCCCCGGAGGATTTGCCCGACTTATCTGATAGGGAAAGTCGGGTTCAATGAGCAAGCTTGAACAAAGCATTCTCCGAAATATAAAAGCACTCGCTCGACACGTTTCCACTGTCAGTTTCTAACAGTTCATCAGTATTCTTACCCGATCATTCGATTCCGCCACAGTGAACACGAACAAGTGTTACTGGAATCAAACTTTGTGACTTAGTCAATCACGCATATTAGT